GTGAGAGAACTGCACTACTAGAGTCAATATCGAGGTTGAGAGAGCTCCCTTTCCATCTCCTGGTATGAGAAGCAAGCATGAATGTGGCTTAACAGTGCACAGTGGTGAATTGCCCAGTTGCTGTGGGTCCCTAGAAGGTGCCATCTTTCACACAGATTATTTTCCAGTTTTGGGCTGCAGCATATTTTTTTCCTAAAGAGCACTTAAAACAAATATGAAAGGACCTGAATTGATTATTTGTTTTATTTGAGAGTCTGTTTAGTGTGGGGTTTGCGTGTTAGACCAGGATTCAGATCCCTGCTTGGTCATGGAAGCCCCCTGGTTGACTGGGCAAGTCACACTGTGATGAAAAGAAAGGCAAGGGCAACCATCTTCTGAACAAAGCATGCCACAAAAACCCTGTGATATGGTTGCGTTAAGTTGGGGAAAAACTTTAAGGCATGCAAAAACAAATTCAGATTATTTCTATTAAGGATTCTGTGTATTCACTGAGGCAAGGAACACTTAGTAATTGGACTGATTAATGCACACTTCCCCCTTTTTTCTTGCAGGGAGTCTCCACTCTTCCTTGCTAGCATTAACAGTTCTCAGCACAGCACTGATGGAAGCAAATAACAGCAGGGCACACCTTGTATTGCCAAGGGGGAAAATCCACTAAATTCTGGCTGCTCTGCATGATTTCCATTGTATAAAACAGGGGTAGGCAACTCATGGCAGCTGTAGGGGGTAATTTTCTGTGTCGGGGGAGTGACATAGACTGTCAATTTATTTTAATCCCACAAAGTGGCAAGAAATCACCTTAGAGTTTTTAAAAATGCATAGATTTAAAATGTTAAAACAGTAAAAGAGCTCCCTACTACCTACCTGTTTAAAAGGTTAAATTGCTGTTTGTGGATTTTGACATACCTTCCAGGATTCTCTAGGTTTTTTTGGGGGTGGGCTAGAAAACGGGCTGTGCAGGGCATTTTGAGGGGTTGGAGGCCACCAAAATATCCTTGGAAGGCCCTTTGCAGCCTTGGGAGCACACATAGCCCACCCCTGGTGTGACACTAACTCCTTCTCTGTTCAATTTCTTGGTTAAGAGTTCCTAATTTTTATTATTGGCCCAGGAGAGAGATCTGTGGAATGCAAACATGTTCATGAGTGAACTTGGTACATGTGCCTTGGGATTGAATTTGAGATTTCCTTGCTGTTTTTGATATTCCCCCTCCCAAATCTTTCCTCTTCCTTTTCTGCCTGGGATGCTAGGAGAATCCTATCTTAATGGAGTTTTAGCAAATGGAAGACCCTGATTGTGTCCAACAATGTTCTGCCCTCCTAGATTGCCATGGGAGGAAAGCATCTCTTGTTCCTCTGGAAGAAGCATACATGATCTAGGGTAGAACCATTTTTGTACAAAGTTGGGGCTCAGCACCATAAGAAACCTGCCACCCTGTTTCCTCCCTGTCGTCATTTCCAAAGAAGCACCCATTGGGGTTGGCCAATTTCATAGCCAACAGCAGGGTTTTAAAAAAATGGAGGCAGGGAGACCAAAAAGAAATGTTTACTGTGTTTATTTCTTTGTCGATAGAGATTTTATTTTTGTACAAAACCCTCTTCCTCATCCACCTGCCCCTGTTTTTTAAAGGGGTTTGTGTGTGCATGTGCAGGAATCTCTATACTGTGTCTGCATTTGTGTGCAACTTCTGTGGATCTGATTCTGTACCCAAATAAAGGCACTTTTGTCTTTTCATTCACTGACTTCAGATTATGATTTGGGGAAAGGAGAAAATGGTGTGAAAGAGGCAAGTGATTGGAGTGGGTGGCTGAGGAAGGGTAAGAATATTTCCCAGTGTTTTAGATTTGAAGCTCACAAGGACATTCCCTTGCCTCCTTTTAATTTCTAGACTGTAGTTCTGTTATTTACATATGCATTAGGGGTGTTTTTTTTTTTTTGTCATTGCACATACAGCAGCATTGTGCATTGCACAGCGTTTTAAAAATACACAGAGGCATCTGTTGTTATTTCAAAAACCAATTTAATGTTCTATACAGTTAAAACTATTTAAAATTTGCAAAGGACCAAACATAAATCTTTGGTTGTTTGGTTCTTGTTTTAGCCTTATTGTGAGCTCCCTTGGATCCCATGTAAGGAGAAAGACAGGAAAGCCACCTTGAATCCTGTACAAGGGGGGTGGGGGAAGGAATATAAAATAAATACATAATAGTCCAAGATAGGAAGGAACACCAACAGTCTTAGATATGTGGACAACACCATATTGCTAGGAGAAAACATGATAGACTTGGAATTATTACTGTATTAAAGAAGATTGCAGATGAAAGTGCAAAGGCAGGCTTAATGCTGAACATAAAACAAAAATAATGACCACACAAGAAATGCATAAATTCAACTGAGACAATGAGGAAATTGAAATAGTTAAGAGTTCCTGTACCTATGGTCAAACATTGATCAGAATGGTGACTACAGCCAAGAAGTAAGAAGATGATGGAGTGGGAAGGTCAGCTAGGAAAGAACTAGGTAAGATTCTAAAGAGCAAAGAGAGAGACAATTGAGTACTAAAAGTCAGAATCATCCAAGCCATAGTATTCCCCATTATCTTGAATGGATGTGAGAGCTGGACAGTGAAAAAAATGGATAGGAAAAAACTCACGTGAGATGTGGTGCTGGAGAAAAGTGCTGAGGATACTGAGAATGGCCAAAAAGACAAGTGGAGCCTTGAACAGATCAAGACTGAAACCTTCCCTGGAAGCCAAGATGACCAAACTGAGGCTGTTGTACATAGAGGGTGATTTGGAAAGAACGGTGCAAAACTGAGTAAGAGCAGCTTCACTTTTGCACCATTCTTTTTGAATCACTCAGTGCTTTGGCCACATCATGAGAAGGGACGGCTTGCTAGAAAATACAATAATGCTAGGAAAGGTAGAAGGTGGTAGAAAGAGAGGAAGACAGTATGCCAGACGGACTGAAATCGGGGAGGTCATGGGCCTGAATTGGCAGGACTTAAGCAGAGCAGTGCAGGACATGAGATCTTGGAGATGTTTCATCCACAGAGTCAGCATGAGTTGGAGCTGACTTGAGGGCAGTTAACAACGACAAAGTTCAAGTGGTGGTCTACAAAGAGTTTCCAGGAAAGAAAGAGTTGTGGTTAGTCCAATGGGCACAATTATGGTAGCTGTCCCTGACATATTGCGGGACAACATAAGATAGTCGGAGAAGCAGTGGTCTAGATTAGAAAGTGGGAGCAACAAATACTTTAACTGCCATGGCTCAATGCTATGGAATTCTGGGCATTGCAGTTTTGTGATTTAGCCTTCTCTGTCAGAGGCTCTGGTATCACAATAAGCTACAACTCTCATAATTCCCTAGCATTGAGCCATGGCTGTTAAAGTGGTGTCAAACTGGATATTTTCTGCAGTGTGGACACAGCCATAGTTAAAATTCACAGCTTACCAAATTTAAAGTAGTTAAATTATTTTAAAATGTGAAATTAAAACCAGTTTAAAACAGCAAATAAAAATCTAGCACATGATGCAAGCCAATAGGTCCGTGTGTGTGTGTGTGTGTGCGTGCGCACACACACACACACACACACACACACACACGAACCTATTGGATTATAAAGTCTTCTGCCTGCTTGCAGGAAGACAATAAGAAAGATGTCAATATAACCTCTTTAGGAAAGAAGTTCCAGAGCCTGGGAGCAGCCACCAAGAAGGCCCTGTCTCTGTTTCCCACCAAATGTACCTGCAATGACGGTGGGAGAGATAAAAGGGCCTCCCTAGAAGATCTCAAAACATGGAAGGTATTGTGCAATAGAATAAAGTCCTTGAGATAACCTGGCCCTGAGCTGCTTAATGTACATAAATGCACAGATGGTTCCCTCCGTTCTTCCTTAACACCAACGAAAGAGCCTTAAAAACCACAGAGTGGTTTCCTTGGAACAGAGAGCCCCTCAGCCCCTATGTAATTTGCAGATGACACCAAATTAGGAGGAGTAGCTAATACCCCAGAGGACAAGATCAAAATTCAAAACGACCGTAATAGATTAGAAAGCTGAGTCAAAACTAACAAAATGAAAACACGGAGAAATGTAAAGTGCTACACGTAGGCAGAAAAAAATGAAATGCACATACATAGGATGCTGACACCTGGCTTGACAAAAGTACATGTGAAAGGGCTTTAGGAGTCCTAGTAGACCACAAGTTGAACATGAGCCAACAGTGTGGTGCAGCAGCCAAAAAAGCCAATGTGATTCAAAGTTGCATCAATAGAAGTATAGTGTCTAGACAGATCAAGGGGAGTAACAGTACCACTCTATTCCTCTTTGGTCAGGCCTCACCTGGAATAATACTGTGTCCAGTTCTGGGCACCACAATTAAAAAAAAAAAAAGGATACTGGAGCATGTCCAGAGAAGGGAGACTTTTTTAAGAGGGGGTTTGCCATTGCCATCCTCTGAGGCTGAGAGAGTGTGACTTGCCCAAGGTCAGTGGGTTTTTTACATGGCTAAACAGAGATTGCTCATTAGCAAATTAAAAACTAAAAAGGTTCCCAAGAGAGGCTCTACACTCTTCCATTATGAGAAGAACTAACCATTTATTTTAAACCTTACTCTTTGCTTCCTATTATTTAATCAACTCCTTAGAGGATGTGTCTGCTTCCATGACTGTTAAGTTTGTGCCAGATTCTTTCATTAATCCCGAATAAACAATAAATGCCTACAAATAAAATTCAACAGATTGCTCCAAATAAAGGAGGAAAAACTATCCTCCTTCAACAATCTTGATGATTGTGTTGTGTGCGTGCCTTCAAGTCATTTTTTAATTTTTGGTGCCCCTAAGGTGAACTTATCACAGGGTTTTCCTGGCAAGATTTGTTCAGTGGCCATTTTCCTTTGCCTCCCTCTGAAGCTGAGAGAATGTGACTTACCCAAAGGCAACTAGTGAGTTTCCATGGCCTGGTGGGAATTCAAATCCTGGTCTCCAGAGTCATAGTAAGAGAGCCTGGGTGGCACAGTGGTTGGAAAGTTAGATTAGGACTCTGGAGACCAGGGTTTGATTCCCAGCTCAGCCATGAACCCCACTGGGAGACCTTGGGCAAGTCACACTCTCTCAGCCTCAGGGGCAGGCAATGGCAAACCTCCTCTGAACAAATCTGGCCAAGAAAACCCCATGACAAGAAAATCCTTAGGCTGGCCATAAGTCAGAAACGACTTGAAGGCACACAACAACAATAAACAAAGAGTCACAGTCCAATGCTCAAACCACTACACCAACTGCTTGCTGATATATTAATTTCATTTTTAAAAGACATTATGGTTTAAATAGGTTTAATTAGCCAAATTACAGCCCTTGGGATCTTGGACTCAGCTGCAGAAGGAAGTTCTTGAGAGAAAGAGAGAGAAGAGAGCAGAGCAAGTGTTTCCTAATATTAAATCACTTTCCAAAGAGTGTAAAGAAAATCGAAATCTAACATCTGTATTAATTTTTGTCGCCTATTTCGAAACCAGGCTCCTTCCAAATATCAAAAGCCCCTAAATATTCAATTTCTTCTCCTTTTCTGGGGCCCAAGTCGTGGAGATGCCATAGATCAATTTAGACCCAAGCCCTTTGTCAGATGTGTTACTTGACTCCCTGAAAGAAGCGATTGCCACAAAGTTATCAGCCGAAAAGCTCTCCTTTCTTCGCCGACGGCAAGCAGACCCTCCGGGCTACTGCCCTCGAGGCCCCCCAGGGATGTGGATTCAAAAGATTATTTGCTATTTTCCCCGAAAAGCAGAACTTTGCAAATTTCCCTGCCAAAGGAAGCGGCAGAGGCTGAGTTCTCTCTTCGTTCCCCGGCTGCCCTCGTCCTCCTGGAGCAAGGCAACGGGATCTTTGGAAAGCTCATCACCTCTTCCATCGATCCCTGTCGGAATCGAAGGGATCCGTGGCCGGGTTGTCGATTAATTGACACTTTTGTGCCGATCAAGAAACACAAAAATGCAAGTTGCAAAGAGTCAGGACAGCATCTGGCTGTCAGGGAGAAGCCCGGGCAGAAACGGACCAATCAGCGCGCAGCTCCTCCCCTATAAATAGCCGGCGGCTCCGCCGCTCGCGTCTATTTCGCTTCGGCAGCTGCGGCGAGAGGATCCGAAGGAGGCTCTTTGCGCTTTGAGGAGAAGTCTTTTTCGGCGCCGAAGAAAAAGAAGAGGAAGAAGGGGAAAGCCATGACTGAGGAGGTTCCTGCCGCTCCAGTGGCCGCCTTGCCGGCTGTCAAAGCCCCCGCTAAGAAGGCCAAAAAGGCGGCCGGGGGTTCAGGCGCCAAGGCCCGCAAGCCCTCCGGCCCCAGCGTGACGGAGCTGCTGACCCAGGCGGTGTCGGCCTCCAAGGAGCGCGGCGGGGTCTCCTTGGCCGCCCTCAAGAAGTCTCTGGCGGCCGCCGGCTACGACGTGGAGAAGAACAACAGCCGCATCAAGCTGGGCCTGAAGAGCCTGGTGACCAAAGGGACCCTGGTCCAGACCAAGGGCACCGGCGCCTCGGGCTCCTTCAAGCTCAACAAGAAACAGGCCGCTGAAGGGAAAGAGAAGCCCGCGAAAAAGAAGCCTTCGGCCGCCGCATCCAAAGCGAAAAAACCCGCCGCCAAGAAGCCCGCCAGCGCGGCCAAGAAGGTGAAGAAAGCGGTGGGAGCCGCCGGGGCGAAGAAGAGCGTCAAGAAGGTGGCCAAGAAGCCCGCCTCGGCCAAGAAGGCAGCGGCGGCCAAGAAGCCCAAAGCGGCCGCGAAGCCGAAGAAAGCCGCGGCCAAAAGCCCCGCCAAGGCCAAGGCGGCCAAGGCCAAGCCCAAGACCCCGAAAGCCAAGACGGCGGCCAAGGCCAAGAAGGCCGCGCCCAAAAAGAAGTAAGGGACGGAGGCAAAGAAGGAAGGGCAGCCCTGCTTCTGTCGGATTTCTGGTCCTTTAAACCCCCCCAAAAGGCTCTTTTAAGAGCCACCCACATATTCCAGGAAAGTGCTGATATATCACGGTTCATAGACACGAGCGCTTTATTTTGCGCTTGTGCTCTTTATAAGACAATAAAGTTATGCGTTCAAACACAAAATATAATAATGCGTTCAAACACAAATGGGATAAAGATTGCAATGGAAGTGTTGCAATCTGGTGTTTTTCCAGGTCTGAAGGGGAAGATACTTTTAACCTTCACTTTAAAAAATAGTGGAGTAGAGTAGAAGTCTATAGAGCAGAGTCATCGTGTCAAACTGGTTTTGAGTGGTGATACTGGGACTGGGAGACGGGTGGCCCAAATGCCTGGGAGGTGCGCTGGACCCTTAGAATGCTGCATTATAGGATCGCTTTTAGACTGCTAAGTGTTTAAATTATTAGCCTAGGAAATATAGATGTTGTCAGATTTATATCCCGCCTTTGTCTCAAAATAGGATTCAAGGCGGGTACATATGATACATACTGTCTGGATTAATGTAAGATATTTGCAAACACCAGTACCTATTAATTCAAGTCACACTTCTCTCAACCCAAGGACCGATTTGTACCTAAATGGGAAACCACTTTCTAGGAGTGCAGCGTTTAAGACTGATTTGAAAAGTTATGCACAAACGATCCCTATCTGGCTTTCAATAGAGAAACGGGACAACACCGTACTCTTCAGCGCTTTTTGTGACAATGTAGTGGCTCTTAAAAGAGCCTTTGGGTTTCTTTAGAAATGTAGAATGGAAGGTATACTGTTATGGTAGGCTGCTTAAGCCCTCTCTCCTCGGATGCGGCGGGCGAGCTGGATGTCCTTGGGCATGATGGTGACCCTCTTGGCGTGGATGGCGCAGAGGTTGGTGTCCTCGAAGAGCCCCACCAGGTACGCCTCGCTCGCCTCCTGCAGCGCCATCACGGCCGAGCTCTGGAAGCGGAGGTCCGTCTTGAAGTCCTGCGCGATCTCCCGCACCAGCCGCTGGAAGGGCAGCTTCCGGATCAGCAGCTCCGTCGACTTCTGGTAGCGGCGGATCTCCCGCAGGGCCACCGTCCCCGGCCGGTAGCGGTGGGGCTTCTTCACGCCGCCGGTGGCCGGGGCGCTCTTGCGGGCCGCTTTGGTCGCCAACTGCTTCCGAGGCGCCTTCCCGCCAGTGGACTTGCGAGCTGTCTGCTTGGTACGAGCCATCCTTTCTCCTCAACAGGAAAACAAGAAATACGAAGCGACCGCTGTGTGCAGCCTATTTATAGACAAATCTGACGGCCCTGATTGGCTGATGACTTTGAGGTGTCCGTTTGGAAATTTGAATTTCCTGCGCTGAATGTCTATTGGCTAGAAGCGAGAGGCATTGTCTGTGAGAGAGGGCTTTGTGCTCGCGAGGTTTGCTTGAGAGGCTCTCATTGGGTACCTGAGACAGCGCATCTGATTGGCTAAAATTAAAAATCGTTTCGCCAATAGGTTGCACTGCAGCTAGAGGGCTTAGGTTTTCTTTCTGGTCGGATAATCCTGTATATAAAAGGAGTGAACGAATGCGTCTGACATTTATTTCGGTTGCTTTAGCTGTGGGAGTTTAGTCAGTATGTCTGGACGCGGCAAAGGCGGCAAAGGCCTGGGCAAGGGAGGCGCCAAGCGACACCGCAAGGTCCTCCGCGACAACATCCAGGGCATCACCAAGCCGGCCATCCGCCGCCTGGCTCGCCGCGGAGGAGTGAAGCGCATTTCGGGGCTCATCTACGAAGAAACGCGGGGCGTCCTGAAGGTCTTCCTGGAGAACGTGATCCGCGACGCCGTCACTTACACGGAGCACGCCAAGAGGAAGACGGTCACCGCCATGGACGTGGTCTACGCCCTGAAGCGCCAGGGCCGGACCCTCTACGGCTTCGGAGGCTGAGGGGCCCCGTTCACCCCACATTTAAAAAGGCCCTTTTAAGGGCCACCCACTTTTTCATGAATAGAGTTGAAGTCGCGGAAGATTAAGGACCTGAACAGACTGCCAGAAATAATCCACTTTGAGTCCACTTTAACTGCCCTGGCTCAGTGCTAGGGAATCATGGGAATTGTTTTTTTGAGACATTGAGCCTTCTCTGTCAGAGCTCTGGGGCCACAATAAACTACAGCTCCCAGGATTCCCTAGCACTGAGCCAGGGCAGTTAAAGTGGACTCAGATTGGATTATTTCTGGCAGTCTGTTCAGGCCCCATATTAACCATACCAAGAAACGATGGAGACAGCTAAATGGCAGTAGCGAATTTTACATTAGTAAACTGGTTGGAGCATTTAGATGATTCTGGAGGCCACCTCTGAATCTCCTCCGCTCAGCCATCCAGCCCCAAGGGCCATCCAGTCCAACCTCTTTCCCTCATGCAGAAACTCACAGTCAAAGCACCCTCAACAGATGGCCATCCAGCCTCTGTTTAAAGACCTCCAAAGAAGGAGGCTCCACTACTCTCCAGGGATGGGTCTTCCACTGTCAAACAGCTATCACTGTCAGGAAGTTCCTCCTCATGTTGAGGTGGAATCTCTTTTCCTGTAGCTTGCATCCATTGTTCCGGGTCTTGTTCTTTGGAGCAGCAGAAAACAAGCTTGCTCCATCCTCAACATGACATCCCTTCAAATACTTAAACAGGGCTACTATATCACCCCTTAATCTTCTCTTCTCCAGGCTAAACATCCCCAGCTCCCTAAGACTCTCCTCATAAGGCATGATTTCCAGATCCTTCACCATTTTAGTCTCCCTCCTCTGGACATACTCCAGCTTCCAAACATCCTTTTTGAATTGTGATGCCCAGACCTGGACACAGGATTATTCCAGGTGAGGCCTGACCAAAGCAGAATAGAGTGGCACTATTACTTTCCTTGATCGACACTATGGATGGTATAATAATCCTTCTTAGAAATATTCTGTACTTCATAAAAGCCATCATTCAGAGGTGTGGCAGCAAATAATGTAGAAATGGGGAAAAGGAGTGATATCCAAGGCTAAAATTGTAAATTTAATGTTGTAAGCTGCCCCGATTGCTCTGCAGAGGGGCGGGATATAAATAAATATTATTATTATTATTATTATTATTATTATTATTATTAAACTGGTTTGTAAAACCCTTCTGGAGGTAATAATGAC